TTTTATAGAACCTCCTTGATAGAAGCATGGCTGACCGTATCACCAAACGACCGAGTTAAAGACAACTGTTTGTAAAAACTTAGTTTAAACCAATAAACGCGCTTAATCGACAATTTTGAAGGTTAGCAGCGTAGGAATGCATAGAAAATTTATTTTACGAGCGTTTTAAACAGGGCCGAGTATTAGTCCATGGGAGATTAGTCAAGGAAGAACGAAATGAGCTTGCCACCCCTGGCACATGGGGCGTTATTTACATCATGGCCGACCGGTTAACGCAACTTCAAGACGCAGTGAATGCGGTTAGTTATTCACCTCTGCTCTCTTTTTATGAGTAGTGTTTCTGATCTGTGCTGTCAAAAGCTTGACCGCGAATGAGGGAATCCTTGTTTTGACGCATCCTTTCGGTGTACTGTCGTCCATGCGTGATTGTATCGCGTCGATTTTTCTTTCGGTCGCAGCAAGCGGACAATTTCTGCAACAGCATCGGTATCCTGCAACAGTATGCGCCACCCAGCAGCTTCCCGGAGTTCGAGAAGTCCGTCTCGAAGCCCGGTCATCAACCGCAAGAAGGTACGAGTGCTCGGAATCGGTTGTGTCACGCTCGACTGGCCGCGAGGTCTACCTACACCGGGTGTTTCCTACTCAAATGAGCTGGTTGTAGCTGAGAAACGGAGAGTAACAGTTAGGCTAGGAATGGTTTTACTTCCCGAAACCGCGATACGATTAAGAGGGACGGCGTAGCGGAGGGCTCCGGAAATTTTGACCATCCGGTGTTGTTCAACGTGCACTGACATCGCTCAGTAAACGGCCTCCCGCCTCCACCGAAATGCGGCCGCCGGGATCGAACTCGCTGCCTTTGGGCCAGTAGCCGAGCATTGTAACCCTCGTGGCGGGCAATGTGGCGAGACTATGATCTATTACTGTCAACGGATGCAGAGGCGGCTTCATCTTGGAAAAATTAGTGCTGCCATGTACATCAAAAATCCAAGAAAACGAAATACATCATGGGGTGATGCTCAAAATAGAAAACTTTCTTCGTTTTGAACATGAAAATACTTGTATACACTCTAAGGAAAAAAAGGGAAACATCAAAAATGAACAGAAATTTCAGCAATTGGAAATGGTAGGCGATAATCAAAGAAGGTATGTCGGCCTCCAAGTCTAACAGCGCCGCTTACTACTGTTCTTGATTACCAAATTTTCGCTTTTATATTTGTGTGCCTCCATCAAAATCAAGGAAGCTGTTCAAGGAATCAAGGAAGGAAACGTTACATTCAAATAAATACAGCACAGTCGAATGATTTAGTACCTTAACCAGCTGTTAAAAAAAAAAAGGTTTCAAGACTGATATATGCAGAGAGCGGCTTAGCAAGGAAATTGTTTTTGTGATTTGCCATCAAGCCTTCACACCTGTGAAAGAGTGGCTTTATGTACTGCAGTAAGCTGAGGAGCTCAAGTTATGACAAAACACTGAGTGGACAAATTTAAATAGGTTGAACAGTATGTTGGAAAGGCAGGCACCTAGAAGTAATGTACAGTTGTCTTTCTAGCATTCTAAAAAGAACAGTGTATGTGTCTGTGTACCAAATATATTCTGTTAATCTGAAACTTGATAAGAAGCTAATGACTATGCAACAAGAATTAAAAAAATTGTAGTTGTAACAATAAGAGATGGGATGTAATCATTATGCTTAAAATACCAATGTGAGTAGTTTGTATTGTTTTAGATTAAGTGTAAAATGTTGAGTTTGGCAGGTAATGTGATCTATGGTAGCATTGATTGTTGGTGTAACAGAGGCTTGGGTACAAATTGTGAAGTTCTACTTTTCAATAAAAGAGTGCAGTTTATTCTTCAGTAATAAGGTCAGGTAATTTGCAGACATAGGCTATATTCAGCCTATTCAAAACGCAGGTTTAATGGAGGCCACTTGGAGAGGTCTTTTTCCCACACTGAACTCAATTGATAGCATTGAAATGGCACACAGATGGATTTCTTGCAATGCTTGCTTTTGAGAAAACACAATCGAGTTTCTGGCATTCAAGAGCATGGCATGTTCAGTCACAAGTAGAAGTTGACGGTCATGGCACCTGTGAAAACCTATGTCCCGTCTAATTCTGCTCTGCGCCTTAGAATTGCCTCAATGCACTGTGTTGCTCAAACATGTGCACTTCGGCTAGGCTGCTCAATTTCAATTGACATACTCAGGCCTAAAGGGTGCTGACACCATTCTTTGAAGGCAAGATTACACTGCCGTGCAAATATACTATATACAGAAGCAGCTCTGTGCAACTGTGAAGGCCAGCAATTGCTGATAAGATACTTTGATGTCAAAGTTCACTTTTCAATGGCACACCTGCTGACATCTACACGGGCTTGATGCCAGCCTGCAGTACTAATTCTGGTAACCTCATAAAGCAGTCTGGCTAGTTGTGATCATGTGAGGACCGAAACTACCGTGGTTTGTGTGTCACTAAAACTCTCAAAGGAGCTGCTTGTGCTATCTTCGTCATGATATCTTGTACGAGCACTTGAGAAGCTCATACCGTGTGTAGATGGCAGGGTACAGTAGGCACTGGTGCTAGCTTTCAAAAACGGACTGTAATTACCTTCTCAGGCACTCACAATTAGCAATACACAGCTGTTGAGGCTGTTGAGATCTGGGCTATTCACTTGAGGCAAAAATGCCAGCCGAGAATTTTTGTGTCAGTAACCTTTTAAAAGTGAGAAAGACTCGTACTTGTACCAATAAGTTCGTCAAGCCATAATAACTGTGCAGAAAAAGGATGAAAACAAGAAAAGACAGACAAGCGCAGACTATGAACTGATGCTTTATTGCAAGAACGAGGCAATATATAATGGACAGAATAAAAAGCAAAAGGGGGCCAAGAACAAGGAGCAAAAAAGGCACGAGAAACCAGATCACCAAAAACCTAAGCCACATCAAATTTCCGGACCACGTCAGTCAAGCCAGTGGAAAGGAAACAGCAAACTGTAGCCTCGTTGCTGGAGATGAACTTGCAGACACTTGTGCAGTTTGTAAAAAAGGTGAGAAAATTGCAACTTGAGGTATTTTACACTGCAAATACGCACAAGACTAGGATGCCTTTTCGTTCAATAATCATGGAACGCGACATGTGGCAGTATTGTGTGTCTGGTTTCTTGCAGACGTGCCTATTGTCTCTATATAGAGATGACCCGTACATTGCACCTAACTCGGAAACGATTGTCCGATTCCTGAGTGATGACAGCCCTGTTGATTGTGACGCCGTGAGCGTTGACCTAGAGGACCTTTTTTATTCTCTCCCTCATAATCATCTTTTGACAGCAGTGAAGGAATGTCACCATGATGAACCTGCCTTCAAAGGCTTAAGTGGTATGTCAGCTGAATCTTTCACAGAAGTTTTGATTTTTTTCCTGGGGTCTTTATTTTTTTCTAAGGTGAGACGTACCCGCAGAAATAAAGGTGTTTGTACTGGGTCTAGGGTGACACCTGTTCTAAGTGATAATTTTCTAAGTAGAAGTTGATCGGGTGGTACAAACGATTTTACAGGCTTCTGTAAATAGAGTTTTTCGTTATCTTGATGTCTACGTTGTTTTTTCTGTAAGGGAACTGAAGATATGTCAGCAGGTATTCTAGAGAGTTTTGGGCAGTGTGGTCTTCGCTTGAAGTTAATTCCGGAATACTTAAAGAACCAATGTATACGCATGTTGTGGTGCCTAGGCCTGTAAAACTGAACTACAAATCGGGCCATACGAAACTGGTTAAAAATGCCATTGCAATCTCATAGTTTAGCTCTGCACTGAAGATATCCTGCTCTCATTTAGTTGAAAACAGGCTTTCCACGGGACGTATTGGTAAAGGTCTGCGAGAAATTCTTTAAGAAGATTAAGAGAGGTCCTGGTGATGTCTGTAACTTGGACGAGAAGGCACAGCATGAGACATTTGCTGCTCTTATATACACGGTTTTACCCACCACCTAAAAACGGTTAATCTCCAAGTCCAAGTGGTTATTTCTGCCAGGAACAAGTTATCCACTTTATGTGTCAAAGCAGACAGACGAGTCGTGAATTAGCAAAATGTCCAGCAAGATACATGCATTGTTAGTCATATTCATAATTATGTATCCTAAATCACCGGTGTTGTCCACTCCATACCCTTGTCATGCAATCGTGTGTACGTCGGCCAAACAGGTCTCTGTATTAGTGTTAGATTTCAAGAATGTTTTAATTCACTGAGAGGCTACTCCGGCCTTTATCTAGCAGCCCACTGTAAGAAATGTGACTGCGCTCCGCTCTTTGGTGATACTTCTGTGTTGTTCCGGCATAAAGACCAAAAAGTGCGCAAACTCATTGACGGTGCTTATATTCACAAGAAATATGAGTCTTCTTGCATCAGTGATCACTCTGTGGCCATACATGATAAAAACTTAAGCTATCTTGGTTTTGTATGACTGGTGTGCTATGCTTGATGTGGCCTAGGTTTTTGGTGATTTGGTGCCTTTTTTTCCCCTTTCCCCTTAGCCCCCCTTGCTTTTTATTCTGTCCGTTTTATATTGCCTCCTTCTTGCAATAGAGCTTCAGTTCATAGTCTGCACTTGCTTGTCCTTTTCTTTCCTTTGTTGTTTATTTCCATTTTTTTTTTCATTTTCGTTTCCCTACCAACTCATCGAACTTACCATTGCAACTTACTGCAGTTTGTTGACTATTGCTTTTGGCTGTGCGGCCTGCATTTTTTATCACGCTGTTCCGAGCAGTCGTGTCCTGCCGGAGTATCAGGAGCACTTGCTCACTTATTTATTTTAACAGTATCTTCGAAGATTGAGGCCATTGAAAACTGTTGCGGTCTTACAAAAAAAAATGGGATGTATAATGACACAGCACAAAATTTTCAATAAAAAATACACAACGAAACAAGTGCCACTGAACAGAAAGGAACAGATTGTATGTAGCTGACCTAAGCATTGCTGGACAATTTAAAAAGGGGCTCTACAACACTTTTCTAAGTCATCATTGAATGGCATTATCGCAGTGTTTACTGCCTCGCGAATCGACTGCCACAAAAATGTTTAGAATTCGTCCAGTGTGAGCACAGTTACGAGGATTTGTCTGATGCTTCATGCGCTTTCTTCTTTGATACGAGTGAATTTGTTTATTTCAGTATCCACAGTGCCAATAGGCACTGTGAATATTGAAGGAAGGAATACACATTTTCAGCCAAACAACTATTGAAAGTCTCCTATCATTCACAATCGGCACATAACATTAAAGTCCTGAAAGCTACATCGAAAGAGTTGACAAGGGGGCAAGAGGCTGGTCTGTCTGTTTGTCAGTGTGGAACATGGCTGCGAGCACTTTATCTTATTTTTCCTTTAAACACACAGCTTGCTTTCCACATCACCGCGAGTGCGCTGCTGTAGTTTTATACTACACATAATACCTGTACTACAGAGTGCAGTGCGGTTGTGTCGTGGATTCCCGGGGCAGCTGCAGCAACCGTGCTTCTCGCGATGCCCAAATAAGCCAATGACCATGTACTTGGCATTTGTGTTGCAATCATTTTGAATTTGTGTTGCAATCATTTTGAATTTTGATGGCATTGTTTTCCAAAAGAAGAGTGATAAGTTTTTAGCCTAATGTGAAAACTAGATGTAAATTCAAGGTCATGCACTGCGCTCCAAGGCTTGACTTGCATGTTGTCAGAAGCCTCGGCTACGGATCGGCAGCATTTTTTAACCGTATTGAAAAAATGTGGCAGGGCGGCTTTAATTTGAGACGTGGGCTAGTGGTTTCAGTCTGTTGACGTCTGGGGATAAAAGAAATCACACAATCACTATATGACTGGAAAAGGTGATAGCCACCCTATGTAGGTGATCAGTGAAAAAGTGACAAGTAACGTGGTTCATTGTGGAATAGTTTGGGAAGTAAGGTAAGGCAGGCTGCTTTCCTCTTTGAAGAAAGGAAAGAATGGGTGAGAGTTTCTTCTGTTTCATGAAAGTAATCATTGAGTAGCACTAGATGCTGTGGCAATGCAGGATTTTACAATCGCAACCATTTTGGAATACACTAAAAGCTCATTATAGCAAAGTTGCATCTTACATGAAAATAAGTTCATTAGGTCCAAAAATTCATTAAAAATGTTTAATACCACTCTGTGTCTGCAAGAATAATTTTCATATACTTTGTTATATCGAGGTTTGAGGGTAGATGTAACTGCTGTAAAGGATCAGACTCGGAGACAGCGCCTGTTCGCTCGGTTGGTTGTTCTTTTTTTCCCTTCGTTCTTCTATTCCTTCTACTAAGCCCCGTACTCACCCATGCCCGAGTTTCACTACATCTTCGCTACACTTGGCGACGCTGCGAACATAGAGCCCTTCCAAAAAATAGCCCTTCTCTGGCAGTGGTTGTCTCCTCAGGAGGTAAAGCGTTCATAGGTACTGGATCTTGAAGGATCATTGGTAACACTGACGCCTCTGGAGAGCGGCATTGGCTGCCTCGTTTGGGTCATTTTCAGACACACTGCGGCTTGCTTCGGAAGTAGGGCAATGATTTCTCTGCTGGGTGCCACTGGCGGTGCCTAGTTGGCCGTTCTTCTGTACGCCTCAATCTGTCTTGCGACTCAGGCGGTCGAGATTGGCTGCTTCGTTGTGGCTGCAGTATGCTTAGGAGACAATTCTGTTGTTGCAGTTTGGGACACCAGTCGTCATCCACTTTCACGTGCTGAGCAGGTAAATGCTTGCGCAGCGCAGAAGGCGTGCAAGTTCAGACAAGGTACAATGAGAGGTCATAATTAGGCTTAGCAGCTTCTACGTTGCGGTCTCCAAAATCTTTAATTCTGCGACGAATAGGACAAAAGGTGGTAACTTGTGGCTCTGTATTATGCCTGCATGTGTGAATGCTGCTGTGCTTGCACCTCCCGCTGAAACCATTGACGTTTTCTGAAGGCACCTCGCTACCTTGCTTGAACTGGTCGCCGTTTCACCGGTGCACTGAGTGTGTGGTGGGTCCGAAGACGGGGAGAGCTAATGCGTGTTGATCCGCGCGGATGTCTGGTGGTAGACGGGATTTCGGAAAAGAGCATTTGCCATCGTCAGCAGACTGGTATGCATCGCTGTCGCCGGCATGCTTCCCTTCCGGGATGGATAAAGCTGGCTCCGCTGACCTGAGGTGCATCAGTGGTTTTCTTGCTGACTTTTTTGAATGAAACATTTGAGCTCTCGGCCAATGACTGCTTCAAAGCCATCAGTTGCGTGTTTGTATAGTCAGAGTAGCTGCTCTTTGTATCAGTAGGGACTAGGCTCTTGAAGTTGTGGTCTGTCAACTTGGGCTCAACGTGTTGATGCCGTACACGGAGTTGAAAAGCTGAGATGGATTTTATTGTGATCAATGGTGAGGTTAACTTCACCGGAGATGAGCAAGTCAGCTCCTAGGATCATATCAGCGGGCAGGTCCCCGAGTACGGGAACGCTGACAAGGAACATGCTCCCGGCTTTCGTTTCGAGGTGCAGATCAAGCGCACCGACAAACAAAATGGAGCCACCAAGGACACGCAGGGGCACCTCATGCCATGGTTGCAGGGTGGCTGGGGCATGGTGTTGATGCAGCACCGTGCGTGGAGCTCCATTTTGCATTAGAGCAGTAAGCTTGCCAATGCTGACGATGCATACTTCTAGTGTTAGAAGGGACTGCCTTTGGTGGCGCATGAAGTGATGTTCGGAATCTGGTGGTATAACGCCGATATGACCTTTGAAACTCGGTGGGGGGGTACGAAATGGCAAAGAAACGAAGTCGGTTCCGGTGGTTGCTGGAGGGCAGGCTACCAAGCTGCCTGTCGATGAGCTGCACTGTGCAGTTGCAGCCTTGAAGAGGTTTTCCAGAACCTCATCCTCGGTATGTGCCTTGTTTGGCTTGCAAGTGTCGCGGCCAATCTGACCAAAGACTGTAATGAGCCGGCCACTCCATTCCATCTAAGAACGTTGCTCGACGCTTTTGTACTTGTGCCATGCCTCTGCAGCACTGCACAGGCAGTTGATGGCTATCAACCATTTTTGATTGTCGGACAAAGCATGGCGCAAGCCGAGCGCATTGATGGTCGCAATCTATAGGTGGGTGTCATCCTGGAAGCCTTGGAACTCCAGTAATTCCGAGAGGGCAGTAAATGGGGACGCGGCCGGCCGGACCCTGGAGCTCAACGACGCCAAGCAATCAAGCTGTTCGGGCAGTTGCGTGAGAACACACGCGAGCTCCGCATTGTTCTTGGGTGAGGTGCCCTATGGAACATGGACGGGGTTCACACAGTGCGTAGTGGTTTCGGTACTCACGGCAGAATCCATTGTTAAGGACGTGTGGACGGCGCCTTTTGTCGTGAACTGGTACTGGTAAAGTGGACTGGAGCCACCGACGAGGCCTTGACGCTGTCCCCGAACGGTGGTGGCAGGTGAACAGCTGCCGAGACAGCCTGGACGCCGTCCTCAAGCTTTGGTTACCGCGGCTGCACATTGGCGGGTGTCCTGGACGAAGAAGCCAGGGCGTAAGTCTTCTTCGTCGACTGCGCCATCGTAAAGGATGAGACTCAGAGACAGCGCCCATTTGCTGGACCGGTTGTTCTTTTTCCCTCTTTGTTCTTGTGTTCCTTTTACTGAGCCCCGCACACACCCATGCCCGTGCTCCACTACATCTTCGCTACACTGCTTAGAACGAGAACTTTCTTGACACACGGCTGAGTTCACATTGTTGTTTTTGTCTTATCCAGCCAAAGTAGGTCCACCTGCTTCACGCATTCTAGAGTTCATCTTGTATAGACTTGTAACTGCTCTATATAATTTGGTTGCATGTGCCTCCGTAGGCCACTGTTGCATAGCCTAGAGGCTAAAGTTGGTTGGTGTATTTTTTTTTATGTGTTTCAGACTACCCACAGTTGTTTGCGACACTGATAGCCAGGACTGCAAAGGATATCGATGTCCTGATCGACTCCCTGCCAAGTGAAGAAGCTTCTCCTGAGCTACAGGTATGGCAGTGGTCACTGGCTTGATAATCGTTCCAGTACTGGGCGTTAGTTAACCAGTGTTAAAGAAAAAGACCCTGCAGAGGGAAATAAATCGATTGGTGTTAACCTTGCAATGCACACGAACAGTTATACCTTCAGAAAAATTGGGAGGAAACACTGACTGTTTATACTCTTTTTTTGTACAGTTAATTTTAAGAAAAATATTGCCATGTTCCTTGCGGACGATGCTCCTGATTGTGCGGAGGAACGTCATCTGAAAGACATCCCAGCTTGGCAGCGTGGGCTCCCGGTTCTCGAACCACACCTTTGCGGTGTCTTCTAGGTAAAAGTATACGTGGCGTACTTTTTCTTTGGTGCCCAAGCTGTTCAAGGAAGTGACTCGGTCGTATGTCTCTAGCCAGGTTTTCGGGTCTTCATTAGGTGCTCCATGGAAGCTTGGTGGCTCCCTGGGTAGGTGCATCACAATAGCCGCAGGCAGTGGCGCAGAGGCAGTCATCGTTGCAGCAGTGGCCGTCATTGTGGAAGTGCGAGTCTTGTTGGGTAAAGGCCTGTACTCCAGTGGTACACCTTGTTGCCTACGGCTGACTCGCTGGTCGTGGTTGGCATCGGTGTCTTCTCTACGACATGGACTCGGTTCACGGCTGGAAGGGGGCGTGCAGTACATGGATTACCCAGCACCTCGGCCAGATGTTACGGCGTCGTGACAACGACGAATAGAGCAGGTCGAAGATTGAAGGGTTTATTTGGGCTGAACTTGTGGCCAACAAATGAAAAGTAAGATTACAGCGAGGCACTGGCACTAACAGCGGTAGGCAGAGCGTCAGCCGTCGATCAACCGACAAGCGGCGAAGCGCGTTGGCATTTATACACTTGCCATCGAATGCTCTAGCATTATGGCTAGCGGCGACATAGGTTCCAGAATAATCTGTACTGTTCTCGATGTGGGCATAATCTTAAAACAACAATCTATTATTGGAACATCGTAGGCGCGGTTTGCACTGAACGTAGTGTAACGCGGTGATAACAAAACCTGAGGAAAGGAACATGGCATGGAACTCTACAACGACGCCATGCTGCCAAACGTCGCTAATGAAGAAGCTTGAGGTCACCGAGCGTGGAAGAAGCTCGTCAACTCGCCCGTTTGTGCATCAAGAATCGGCAGGCGGCTCCGCTGTTTTAATCTTTAATGAAGCTTCGTGGAGTACCAGCCCGGTGACCGTATCTGGGTATGGATGCCGATACGCCAACGTGGACTCGGTGAAAAACTTCTGCGACAATATGTCGGACCGTACAGAGTAGCTCGATGTCTTGGACCACTGGATTAGAAGGTTGTTCCCGACAGCATTACCAACTCTCAACGGTGCCGTGCTCGACTTGAAGTCCTCCATGTAGTGCGCCTCAAGCCATTTCATGCGTGAACCTGAGGACTGTATTCTGTTATTCTTGCTGTGCTTTATTGCTTGTACTTATTGTTTATTGTCTTTATTATTGTGCCTTCATCTTTTGTTAAAGCATCACTACGATGCCTTTTTCAGAGGGGGGCAATGCCACGTTGCTTTCCTCAAGTTTTATTATCGCTCCGTTACACAACGTTCAGCACAAACCATGCCTACGATGTTCGAAAAGCTTTGAGGCTGTAGTAGATCACTGTGTTAAGATTACGCCCACTTCGTGAACATTGCAGATTATTCTGGAACCTACGTCGCCGCTAGCGATAATGCTTGAACATTCGATGGCGAGTGTATAAATGCCGACTCCCTTTGAGAGTGTATAAATGCAGTGCTACCTTTGAGAGAATTGTTTGCCAATCAAAACAGACAATTTTTTTCCTCGTTAAGCAGCTCAGATGCGTTATATTCTGAAAGAGCCTTCTCTGGGCTGCACATTATGCACACTATCTTACCGATCTGGCACATGTTTTAGTCTGCAGATGTTCATACTGATAGATCTAGCTGTATAAAAGAATTCGTCAAGCAGGGGTGCAATAACTGGACAGCTTCTGTGCTTCAGGCATCTGCGTTGGTGCTATGCGTAGTATGTACCTTGTTTGCTCATGAACGCTGATGCATGCATATTGTTTACTGCTGTATGTGCTAAAATATTACTTATGTGGTCATTATTTTATGTAAACATCGATTGATTGACTCGCAATAAAACTATTTATTGCTGCAGCTTGTGTTATCAGCGCTGTCATTTCGCTTGGCCTGTATGCGGCATCACAACTTACTAAAATAAGAATGCAAGACTTTTATGAGCTTGTAATAAGTAGTTTAGAGCAATGTACTGTATTGTAATGAGAGAAATTGAGAAGGAGGGCTGCTGCAGCGAGCGGGGGCAGCTTTTACTTAGAAGCAAACGACGAGGGTGTCGTCTGCTATGCGGAATTTGAGCCACCATATCAAAACGCCCGTGTGCTTTCGGAGACTATTTCATTTTATGCACAGATATAAATTATACAAACAATTATTTAAGTTGTTATTTGTCTAAGAAGAAGATAATCGAGAGTGAAATATAATAATTTTTAGTTAAAAATAAAATCGTAACATTGCAACCTTTTTACGATTACCGACAGAATCCAGACAGCGCCATCACAGAACACCTAGCGCCATCATCATGTCCAATTTTTGTCCCCATTGGCTCCATGGGTATGTCCCTCCCTTGATATTCCTTTTAATTTCTATTTAAGTGGGGGCATATTAAGCTCCAACATATGATACCTGCCGAGTTTATGTCATCTAAAATTCTGGCAACGGAGCCTGCCAGTCATTCCGTTTGTGAACGAAGATCGGTGGCACAACACTATATATGCGCAAGCTGCTGATTTTACCAGAATTCACATTACACAGACAAACCCTGATGGTAAACACTGCTACCACAATGCTTCGAGGAGTAAACTCGTAGGCTCACGAAGCCCCGAAATTACTTCCTTTCACAGCAGCAATCACCGAGTAGCTTTTTTTTTTTTTTCTCTAAGCTGTGAAACACTACTTACATCGCATCAGGCGTCGGTGCTCGTACAGCCGTGCACAGGGCAGAATGCACACATTGCGATGCTACGAGACGGAGTTCTCCGTCCGGCAGCTCTTCTTTGAAGCGCCAACCAAAATCCAAGGCTGGGGACGTTGACTATTAAAGATGCAAAAGACACCTGACGCAGAAAATATGAACACGGTGGAAGTGCCAGCGTGCGGGACGCGTCTTTTCTACTGTGGGTCAGCGTAAAGAAAGTGAACTCGTTTGGGTCTTGTGGGGGCTGCCATCTTGGCTTAAAAACAAACAAAAAAGCAAAAAAATACTATAGATCCGTGCTATAGATAGATGGATAGGGCAAAGAAAGGTAGGAGAGGCCCTGACGTCACTTGTTGTGAAGTCGCGATGAAGTCGGCCATATTGAATGGGCAAATTCTCCTCTCTTGTTTACATCCGAATGTAAAGGCACACGGAGGAAGGAAAGGAAGACACGACTCTCTCTCCGGCTCGTAACTGCTGCTGAAAAACATTTATTTACAGATGTTATTTACAGGGAGGGTGGGAACGGTCCTTAAGGGGCCGCCCCGTACAAACACTAGGTGGGCTCCCTCTTACGGGAGCCCATTGGCGTTGGCCGCGGCCCGGGCACGCTCGACCAGGGCCCGTTGGGCCGTCAGGTCAGAGCAGCCGAGCAGGGCTGCCTCCCAGTCCTCCCGCGAAGGGTTGGGTAGTGGGGTAAGGTTTGGGGTTTTTTGGCATGCCCACACCATGTGGAAAATGTCAGAGGAATTTTCCTCACAATGCGGGCACTTCCCCGTGCAAGCGGGGTCAAAGTGTTTTATGATTGCCGGGCACAATAGAGTTTTAGTATAAAGGCGAAGGAGGATTCGCTCCTCCGCCTTCGTGAGGCCCTTACAGGGTTTAGGATAGACGTTATGGCCGGATTGATAAAATTGTGTGATCTCCTTAAAGGTGTAGGCAGGATTGGGTTCGAGTTCCGGATCGGTAGGGGACGAGGATGGTGCCCGGAGAGTGAGCGCGCGGGCATCGGCCGTCTCATTACCATCGAGGCCCGTGTGAGCCGGAGCCCATATGATCGTTCGGTGCGCGGGGGCACCTAGGTAGCTGCTGTTCTGCAATATTTTATAAGCACGGTACGGAATGTATCCCTGTTCAATATTGCGACAGGCACCCCTTGAGTCGGTGATGATGACCCTCGAGTCCTGATCTGCGGCGGCTAGTGCGATGGCGATCTCCTCCGCGTGCGTAATGTTATGTGCACGGAATGTGAGTCCGTTTACAACGGTGTTTTCGTGGACGACCGCAGCCGTATACCAACCACCGTGGTGCGGGCCGGAGGCGTCCACGTAGAATACCCCGAATTTGTGGCCGTAGTGTCGAGCCAAGGCTTCCACCCGCGCGAGGCGTCGGCCAGTGTAGTCGTCTCGGGTCATGTTAGCCGGAAGAGGGCGCACGTGCAAGGAGTATCGCCAAACTTCTGGAATCCGTACGCGCTCTTCCGTGTGTATTGAGTGATTGATGTGTAGCCGGGCAAGGAGGCGGCGACCCGACGGTGTTTTAGAGAGTCTAGTATATTGGTTTGTCAAGTGCGCCTCTCTCAGCTCCTTGAAGGTGTTCACCATTCCCAAGCCCAAAAGGCGCTGGTTAGAGGTGCTGACAGGAAGGTCGAGGGCGCGCTTGTAGATTTTGCGGAGAATGACTTCGAGTGCATTCTCGTCGGATTTGCGTAGGTGGAGGTATGGAGCCGAGTACAGGACTCGGCTGGTTACGAATGCATGCGCCAGCCGCAAGGCATCTTTGCATCGTAACCCCCCGCGCTTGTTGGAAACCCGGCGGACCATCCGGCCCACCTGGTCCCCCACCTTACACAATTTGGCCAATGTTGTGTCTGCTCTGCGATTTTTGTGTATAAAAAGCCCCAGTACTCTAATCTCATCGCGTTCGGGTATTGGTCCGCTGTGAAGGGAGAGGTCGATCTTTGCGGTGCACTTTGGTGAGGGGCGTATGTGCACGAATTCCGATTTGGACGGAGAGCACTGAAGGCCGCCGCGACGGGCATAGTCATCCACGATGTTCGCCGCTTGCTGCAGGCTTGCCTCCATGTCTCCTGCCGAGCCGTGTGACGCCCATATGGTGATGTCGTCGGCGTACAGCGCATGCTGTATGCCTTCGTCTTTCACCAGCCGAGCGGGGAGTCTCATCATTGCCACATTGAATAGGAGGGGCGAGAGGACCGCTCCCTGCGGAGTCCCTCTCGTGCCTAATCGGTAAGGGCCGTGTTCAATGTCCTGAATCCGAATGTATGATTGTCGGTCAGTGAGGAATTGTTTAATATAGTTGAAAGTGTTTTGGCCGCAATCTACCTGTGAGAGATGTGTTAGAATAATTTCGTGGGTCACGTTATCAAAGGCCCCCTTCAGATCCAAAGCGAGCACAACTTTGTCATTCAGGGGATACTCGACTGGATCGAGGATCTCATGGTCGAGCTGAAGCAAGACATCTTGCGCGGACCGGTGTGGGCGGAACCCGAACATGGTGTCTGCAAATGCATTTTTGCTCTCCAGGAACGCGGACAACCTGTCGCGCACCATCGTCTCCATTAATTTTCCCACACAAGAAGTAAGGGAGATGGGGCGGAGGTTGTCCGTGTTAATGGCTTTGCCCGCTTTGGGTATGAAGGTGACCAGGGCGGTCTTCCACTCAATTGGTAGGCTTGTTTTCCCGATCCAAATGGAATTGATGTAGGCAAGGAGCATGGTGTAGGCCGAGTCAGGAAGATTGGCAAGTAATTTCACGGTAATTTTATCCCTTCCCGGCACCGTTCCTCGCCTCATTTTTGCTAGGGCTGCCTTCAGGTCTTGTAACTGGAACAGTTGATCCAGTTCCGCGTTCTCGGTACCTGCATACGAGTACGCCGGCCCTTGGGAGTCCTGCTGAGTGCATAGATATTGGTCTCGGAGTTTACATGCCAATTTGGCTGTGTCTCCGTCGAAGCCTTGAAATGCTCGTTGCAGATGCTTTTGTGTCTCTGTTCGAGTTTGGGTCGGATCAATCAAGGCGCGGAAGAGGCGCCAGGTACTCCGGCTGGACATTTGTCGAGCGGCCGTGTTGCAACGGTCCACCCAGTTAGAGTCAGCGAGCTGGGCCGCGTACTCTGCTGCTCGCTGGGTGAGCTCAGCGATGCGAATTTTGAGCTTTCGGTTGTGTTTTTGCCGGCGCCATCGACGGACGAGGCTGCGCCGGGCCTCCCAGAGGTGAAGGAGATGGTTATCCACCGCCGGAGTCACCTCGGAGAGTTTAATTTGTGTTTCTGTGGAGCGTAATGAGGAAACCAGTTGCTGGAACCAAGCTTGGTATCCTTGCTCCTCAATGGGTGTCGAATTGGCGTATATTTGCCGAAACTTCGTGTAATCGGGTAATTTTGCCTCTCCGTAGGGTCTTGCCAAAGGGTAGGTGCGAATGGTGGTGTTGAGTATGCAGTGGTCGCTGCCGAGGGTCTCTTCAGTGTTGACCCAATCCGCATACTGAATGTTTTTTGTGAGGGTAAGGTCCGGACATGTGTCCCGGGTCACGGAGTTACCCACGCGAGTTGGGTAGGCAGGGTCGGTGTGAAGAGTTAGGCCCAGCGTGGACATAAGTTCCGCCAATTTACGTCCACGTTTCTCTTCACGTGCATACCCCCAGAGTGTGCTGGGGGCATTGAAATCACCCACAATCACCAGAGGGTCCCTGCCCGCAGCCTTTAAAGCGCGGCTAAAAAGGTCTGCGAATGTAATGTTGCTTAGTTTCGGTGAGCAATAAATGTTTAGCACGTGCAGTGGCGGGTCCTGTTTACGCAGCGGAAGGAGTGTCACCATCACGTACGAGAAAGCTGGCTTAAGGTCGAGGTCAACTAGGTTGGCCGTATAATTTTTGTGCACGCAGATGCAAGATAAAGGGTCCTGCTGAAACGTAGTATAGTTTGTGAGTGTGGCAGCACTCCCTGGCTCCTGGAGGGCTACCACAGCAGGAAGGTTTTGAAATGCTGCGAGGAAAAGCCGGAGGTTGGCGCGCTTAGTGTGAGCCTTAAAGCCCCGACAATTCCACTGGGTGATTTGGATGGGAGTGGCCGTATTGGATCGTGGGGACTTCCGAATTCTAAGGGTGCCCGCCATGGTCAGTGGAGTTAACGAGCGATTGC